AATGATTAAAGTAATTAAAGACTAGAGTTTGTGGTTTAATCTCGTTTAGAATGTGTATACATGCTCGTCGAATAATATATAATTATTATGAACGACCGTTCGTGTACGTTCCCGACTCTAAGGCCACCTCCTTATTTATTTATACCTTAATGCATACCTATATACATATTATATCGTTATGTACCCATGTCGAATGGACGGCTCTTAATGTAGTTCGACGTCAGGGGGGCGAAGGAAAAACAGGATAGGTGTAGTATATTATAACCGTATATTACACTATCCGTTTGTTTTCGTACGTTTTCCACCATTGTTTCGTCCTACAATAACTCCGAGCGCTAATAAAATATTCATCAACAAAGGTACACGAGCAGAGATCGAACACAAAGTGTAATCGACCAGATCGACGGGTATACATATTATACACATGCATAATATTATTTGTACTCGGCTAGAGCAATCCATTAAATCTATCGAATCGAACCCATATAATATTATGTATACACATCATAATCGATTTCATGCAGAGAAAATATGATGTTTTATTAAGCGAAATGGGAGGTAGTACATGATATAGCTATGATGGTACCGAAATAGTCACAATAACCTTTTTTTATTGATTGTTTTCAATTTTGACGTCTTAATTTGAGTTAGTATATTAATCGTCGATTTCGCTCGATCGATAATTATACAATAAATTATATTAATTTTGTGCAAAATTGTATTACTTAGTAGTTTAATAATTATTCCGGATAGTATATTAGATACCTGTGACTCTTACGCGGTTCATCTATTGGTGAAGTTAATTCGGCGCTTAACCACGACCTCGCTCTCAACTGCAATAAAGATTATTATTCGCCGGTAAATGCAGTCCTTTGACTAATTTTCACTTTAGTGAAATATAATTTACTAGCTCACATCACAAGTACCAGCCACATACAGACTTACGGTGCTCGTCGGTCAAAGGACTTAACCCGTTTTGGCGTCGTCGACTCCTCACTCGCCGCCGGCACATCTCCATCAGACACTGTCGTCAGGGGATACCTAAACGCAAAAATCTATTTCCTCGGTGAGCCACAACCTGTTACTATTACGGTCAACGGCGGTGAAGTAGTTATTTTGTGCACGAGGGTACACCAAAAATGTGGACCTCACCATATTTATCTAATCAAATTGCTCGAAAATATAAAATTGTAAACATGTGTAGGGTAAGCATGGAATATAATAATCAATTTGAATTTTATTTGCCAATAATGTTATACACAGGTGAAAACCGTGAGAGTCGGTTGTTTGGAATAAGCGCAACACAAGCCGTCGAAGGAAAATTGTATAATCTAGAAAAAAAACCACCCCGTATTCATATTGTATAAGTAGCAGGGGTCTTGCAGTTATTTCGGTGGCCCAGTATAAAGCTCACGTAAGGAAGACAAATGCTACTCTCGAGAATTACACTCGCCCACTAGTGTACACACAGACACACACACACACACACACACACACACACACACACACATTTATAACCTTTCGTAAAAACTGTCATCGGGTATATAGTAAGTATCTAGGGTCACGGATATCCGGCGGTCCACTTAACCTCTAAGCACCACCGTCATTGTCGGTGGACGATAATGTCCAATCTGGGAATCACGTCAGCCATTATTCATGTCCGCGCGAACATCCGACCGGCCACCTTACGCACACACATATACATTATATACCCTTGACCATACCGCTCCTGATTACCAATTCGAATTTCGTTCGATTTTCGTTTTTCCTATTTCATTTCGTCGTTCACCTTGCCGGCAACTCAAGCGTCGTACGTTATGAAGACGTCTGTCCAATGTATGTATCTGTACTAAGTCGTGATGACGCGAATTTCTTTCCTCGAAAGTAGAAATAACTGTACTCAGATAACGACTGGTAACATCTCAAACTGTATCCTTTGAACCAGTGTTTACAAAGGAATTAACATAAACGTTCACACATAGGAAAATACAGTCGTACTTTAAGATGACCAACATTGTCTTACCTCGAGGACAGAGTCTTAACGGTCGATGTTGGAGGGGAGACATTCGTTTGAATGTGCTCCGCACAAAATATTTATCCTGGGTGCAATTTCAAATTCAATTAAATTAAACAATTTTATATTAATATAATAATTATAATTCTTTTGTTTATTTAAGACGTCCAAGATTCAAGTTATTTATTAAATTACAAAAATCTAAACTAGTTTGCTAGTTGTTATTTTCAAAGCGAATTATTCTACTAGCTAGTATTAGTATTATAGACGATAATCTAAAGTATAGTTGATTTCTCTTAGAACACGCCATATAGACATAATTAAGTTAGTCGATCTTCTTGCATCCTGGAACGTAGCCAAGTTTTTACTCGTTTTATAGTATAAAATCTTCTTTCAGCTGCACTCAGAGTCAATGTACATTTTTTGTAATGTCCTTTGTAATTAAATGATTAAATGCTATATTTCTTGAAACGATTTGGATTATTATTGGCGTATGGTTTAAGCTTTAGGGAAGAAATTGGCTCCTTCGACGGCGGATCCCCTGACTTAGCATGTATCTATGGGTTTTGGTGTTGAGTAAAATTATATAGTGTTATTCGTTATGTCTCTTGAGCTTATATTTCTGGTTACGTGGCAGCTGATGAGATGCTTTTCAAGTATTTAGAAGGACTTGAAGACTTCATTTGAAAACATCATAAACTCTATTAAACATACTAACTATAGTAACTAACTTGATCATATTTTTAAAAAAAAACCTTCGAAATAATATTATATGATTCTCAAAATGGACGTTAAATTAATCTGTATTTTCCTTGAAATATTCAAGTTATCAAGACTTCGGTTCGTCGAAAAGTCGTATACTCACGCTACGCGTGTAGATAATTATTCCGTGTTTTATTATTATTTACTCGATTTGTTTAACGAGTTTTTCCCGTCCGTCGTTGATGTGTAGTTTGGAAGTGCAACTTTCGATCGTTGTTTGTGACTGTCATGGAAATAAAACTTTGTGATTTTTTTATAGGCATTCACCGTTGCGACACATATTAAAAATTGATCGTCGCGAGTGTGATTGCGACTGCAGTGAACGAATGAGTTTTAAACTTTGCTGCGTTTCGATCAGTTCGAGTCTGCCGAGTAAACATGTCCAACATATATTGTTTAAATTATAATGTGATACAGACACAAATTATTCGTTTTATACAGAATTTAAAGTGAAAATACAGTTATACGAATATTTTAAAGATTTTAGTTAATAGTTTGTCATAATATGTGGAAACGACGAGTGCTCCTAAATCCAAACTGCAGTTGATCGTCGAGACATTGCGTTTTATAACTGGTTAGCTACATTATAAATAAATTAAACTTTTCTCGTATGTAAACGAAATATGAGACATTTTTAGAGTATTATATTCTAATAAATACATATATTATACTATATTGCACTAGCATGTGTGTTATACGGAAAAGTATTTGTCTGATGTATAATTTATTGCATCAGCGTGTAATATGATTAAGAGTGAATATTTGAGGAGAAAATATGTCATGCGTGGTGCTCATCTATAATATATTTCGTAGTCGCGTTAGGACGTTCATTTGACATGCAAAAACTCGTTGTTTTTTTTGTGAACTTGGGGCATAAAAATGATTTATAAAAAAATTGTTCAACGGCGATACCTCTATACAGCTATACTGTCCTACAACTACAGCAGTCGCGGTCAAATTGCATTGCAACGTCTATTCAGAACGTGACATTTATTTAAAATTGTTTCTTTTTTAACAATCTCTCTCTGTTTCGAATTTTTCGGCCATTAAATCTTATATTTTTCGCAAAGTCTAGCGATATCATAAATTACGCACCCTATATATAAGTGTATATACTGTATATACATATACATATATATATATATATATTATATACGCAGTACTCCACGTTATTAATGACACGTATAAAGCATCGTTATATTTGACACGGATACCTACTTTACAGCATTAGTGGAATTTTAAGACGACTTTCGAGAGAGAAAAAAATCCTTACACTCACTACAATAAATAATGTAGAGACAAAAAAAAATCGACTTAAAAATATGTTTTATACGATGGTTGTCTATAATACTTTATGATGTATAATATGATTATCTCGACCACATCGCAAGAATTACATAGTCATATATAGGCACGTTGAATAAAACAAAAACTGGCAAACTGTAAATAATATAACATTATAGCGATGTGCGAGTGGCATCGTACGAATATTAATTATAAAATATAACTTAATGCGATGGTTAACATTATTTATCGTTATATAATATAATGGTATGATAATATAGCCTTAACCTTTACCGCGGTAACGGTATCATTGGCATCTGCCGTGGTTTACAGTATATTATCAATATTATTATATCCTCATAAAGTCGAAACGCGCGTTTGAACATTATCGCGGCTTTATGCTCGATCGGACATATATAAAATACACGATGTCCGTGTTTTGTTGTACTCGGTCATTGCCAAATTTTTGCGTTACTACGTTCTCGTTGGAATCACGTCAAAATTGATCTTGCAGTGACATGGACTTTAGACGAACTTTCACGGTATAATCATAATACATAAAATAATATATAAATAGAGTTTATTCGCCGTCATTCGGTTGATAATAATTTTTTTAAATTTAATTTTAAAAACTAATAAATTACACGGTCAAATTTCGATTTAGATTCATCAACATTTTCAAAAAAGTTTGTTTTTGTTTATAAAAAAAAAAGATTTTGTACGGCCAGAATACACACTCTAAACGGTATAAAAAATTGTGATATTTATTATAGTCCTGAAGAATATATATAAGTTACAAATATCAAAATTTGAATGAATTCATTATTAAAGGAAAAACAGGAGAGAGGTTTTTTTTTTAACCACGTTATTGTACGCTCGTTGTAATACAAGTTTTCAAACTTACCATCTCACTGACTATTTTTGTTTTTATATTTTTTAGACTCTCGTCTACAGAGATGGCATTCTGTTGTCCGGCCCGTTGTCCAGTCTGGTCCAGCACTTGGTACCCACCACTGATTATTACCCGGACCAAGCGTACCTGTTTGCGTTCATTCTCAGCTCTCGGCTGTTCGTGAAGCCACACGAGCTGCTCGCCAAAGTCGTCGCCGTGTGTCATGCCCAGCAAAGGCTCGGAGATCCAGTGTCTGTCGCCCTAAACCCTCACCACAAGGTAAGTACTGTAATTATAAATGTTTAATATATATGTATCGTGTAATACTTACTCAACTATCAAAAGATTACCTCAGGTTAATTTTGTCGAATTGTTTCGATAGGTTTATCATATACAAATAATAATTACAAACTCTATAACAATAATGTTTATATGGATTATTTCTATCTATAGTTTGGTATTCAGTAAACTTCGATACGTCACAGACATCCATTAAATCTGCCAACTCATATTATGATAATATAATATGAATATTGAATATAGTATAATTATAATTAAAAATATAATTTATATTCATTGAAAATAGAATTGAAAATAAATTAACCATAAACATATTTTAATAGTTTAATTTTCAACTATGCATTATATAATTTATTTTACTAAATTATTTTATCATAGTATAATTGTAGCCTTGGCATAAAAAAGTATCATTTAAAGTCTTTAGTGTATTGAAAAACTCAATGATTGTATATTTATCGAAATTTATTAATTTTTAATTTTCTACTTTATAGTATATAAAATATTTATAAGCTTGAATCGTTGCTTGTTTACATTTTTATATAATACTTGGTGTTTCTGATGACGCATTCATTATCTCGTAATTATTATTGTATACTATATTTTTTCCGCCGAAACCGGTTCGGTAACGCATTATTGTTATTATAGATGAATATTATTAGTCATGGTAACACGGCGTTCCGAATAGGCAATTCGGGTACATTGTAGATGGCGTGTTTCTCGATTTGCCGGTATCTCAGTGTACAATACTAATAATACTATCCTTATCATTATAATATTTTTAACCTGTTTTCAAAAACAAATGTGATTACATGCTTTTATTTTTATGCCTATTATACGATTGCAGTCATGTCACGAATGCCTTTGCTCTAATGTAAAGACGTATGAAATATTCTACTCCCAAATTTGTATAGTCAAACAATGCCGTGATATCAAACAGTTGTAAGACGTGAAATAAGAATAACTTAACAATTTCCAATAACGAAAAGAATGCATTTTCTAAATAATACGAACACTGCAGAGATGTGATTTATTAATAATAATATAAAATATAAACATCGAATTGTTAGTATTTGTCATTTTTGTTTATTCACGCGTCTCAGTTTAAAATTATGAAATAAACAAATATAAACGAATACATAGTCGTTCCGTTATATATGCAATAATAAACGTTCTGTTCCGATAAATTAAAATTCAATACAAATTTTAGTTTTATAATTCATATGCTTGTATGATTGCAATTAAATATATTATTAATATGCATTATATTATTAAACGTCTCGATTTCAAACTTGAGCGTGCCAGACAATCCGCCTTATCCTAATCTTTAGGTACAACATTATTGTGGTATCATACTATTTCCAAGGCGTGTTGTTTTCGGTGGTTACAATTTATAATTTACATTTGACCTACTTTTTCATATGTATCTTTAATATCTGATAATTAAAGAAAAAATGTATTTTATTTAGTATTAAAGATGCGCATTATATCAATAGCTAATACGCAAAAAATGTATGTCACATACTCACATAATATTACGTAAAGACACCAAACTTGTCAATAGCTATTCAAATTTCCCATTTTTTGTAAAAGCATTGTTATGTTGATAATTGTTGCTTACTAGGTGAACTAATAGATTATACCATGTTGCATAATATGTTAAAATATAAATTAATTTAACGCCTTTTCTACTTCATTTCCTATGATAACAATTTAAATACTATTGCTATATTGGCCCCTCTTTTTTTTATCGTCAGAAAAAGCAGTCATGTATAATATCAAAATAGTATTACCAAATTCGTCGAAAATCTCGTATTTTGAAAATTAAACGGAGTTCGTGTATACAATCGGACGTAGTTGCCATATATTTTATTAACTATTTATTATATTGTCTGTTATTGTCATGAGTATAAGTTTTTGTCGTTATAAAAGCACGAAGCAGACTTCAAATACATTACATAATATATCTTGACAAAGGTTGACAGGAGAGCTTTTTCGAAATATTTACTAATTATAAAATTATATGCGTCGCCCGTACAATAATGTATAGGAAGAAGGATTATTATCTTATTTTTACCGCTCGAGTATAAGCCATTGTCGTCGCGTTTCTATGTACAATACTATAGTATAATACGAAGCTCGCACTAGAGTAATTTAAATACCGCGCAGTATTGTGCTCTTAAATAATGTCTTCTCTTCGGCGGGAGCAGTGCAATCTTTAGGAATGTTTTTTGCCGTCGACCGAGATTCCGAACGAGTCGTCGCCTCTGCTTTCGTCGTTTATATATTAGTGTAGGAGGACTTTTTTTTCAACGTATACTCAATGGTCGTTTTCTAGGAAATATTTCGGTTGCCGTAAAAAAAAATATTTACTATGTAGTATAAATGTTTCCATTCCCATAATACGCCAACAATAAGTTCGATGATTCCACGAGTATGTATGGAATCTTTAACTATAATTTATAACATTAATATTTACATTTTGTAAAATTACATTGTATTATAGTACCTACAAGCGTAATAATTTTTGTACTCGACCCCACCATCCACCGGTAATTCGACTCAAATCAGTGAATAAGACAAAATTCATTAAAATTTAACTTTGAGCCTGCACAATATGTAAGTTATTTATTTAAGTTGTTTTTTCCTTCTTCTATACAGGATCAGCTGTCACGGTTCGTGCCACGGTTGGTGCAACTGTTGGCCGAGTGGACGGACAAGTTTCCGTACGACTTCCGTGACGAACGGGTCATGGCACACGTCAGGGAGATCACGCATCAGTGCGTGTCCGTCGAACCGGCCGTCCGGCACCAGGTCTCCGCGATGCTTCAGACGCTGTTGCACCGGCTCACGGCCCTCGACAAGTACGAGACTTTCCTGCAGCAGACCGGCACCGATGCCACAGTCGGATCCGCTGATGCTCTGTCACCGGTGAGTGTTGCTGGATTGTATATATATATATTTTTTTTTCATAAATAATATCACGGAAATCCTACGTAGAACACATTCCCGCTAGTTTGCGGGGCGTATTTTAACAATCGAGTCCAACCGATTTCGTTTTTAACACTCGGCGAGTTACTCTCTTTGGTTATATTGAGTCGGCAGATACATTATCATTCATACACCGAAGACACCACGAAACCATCATTTCTATTGGGTCTTCTATATCTTTCTTTTCATTTATTACCGTTGTACCGATTTGTTTCATTACATCCATCAATTACAATTCGATTGAAAAAGGAACGGTCAGCCGGTAGCTTTGACTTTGATACACATCTGACACATTCGCTAATCGAAATCACGTGAAAAATTGATTCAACTGATAGGTCTAGTCACTAGACTCTAAAGTGTATTACCGTCTGTGAAAGTTTTTCAGCAGCCGACCACAGTAGTATTCGATGTTATAAACTCGCTGGTATATGATTTCATCGATTTCTCAATTTCTTCTTTTTTAGTGGAAAGGGTACATCGATTATCGTCAGAATAGGTAGTTTAAAAAAAATATGGGTTCTAATAATTGGTGAGCTATTAGAACCATTACTGTGTGGGGAAAATATTATGGACTTCCCTTACCAAATTACAAATCGTAATATTTTGCTATTTGTTTCTAAACTTATACCCAGACATTTCTTATTGAAAATAATATTATAATTTTAATTGTTTAAGTTCTATTTTTCTTATATAGCTATATTATATACCACAATTAAGTTTTGTAAAATCTAAAGTATCTTATTGTGCTGGCTAATAGATAGCCCAACGACTTACTTTACTCTCTTACTCTCTGGTAAGTGCTCATAGTATAAGGTTTTCGTGTGGTCGTCGACCTTATATGATATATCGCGATTTAAAACAACGGATGTTTAAATATTATAATATAGTACTGCAGTCATGATGTGAAATGGAAATTATTTTTTAATTAATCGATAAAAATACGGAGTGACCGAGGTGACCAGTGCGCATTTTACGTGTGAAAATATACACGCCGCGGTGCTGCGAGACGTGTTACCCGAGTCCTTTGCCACCGATCCTCCCGCACCGAGCGTGACACGCCGAGTGCATTTAATATTAATATACGTGGATTATTATAATATTACAAACGAGACGATGCTTATTTGTATTAATATATTATTGCATTATCGCGTCGTGCGTGTATACGTGCTTTGCGCTAGATATAATATCTACATGTTTTAACCTCCCCCAAATCACGCTCCTCGTTTGCCGCGCGTCACACTATGGTGATCCGGTGGCGGTATTTATCGCGCATACAAGTCACGTGCGTTTAAAATTACCTACACTGTAAATGATGTACATCGCGCTCGCCGTTCGGTTCGGGGCCGGTTGTGGTAGTTAAGGTCTCGTGGCTCGCACTGTACTCGCGCACATGTAATTACGTATGCACGTCTGTATGTGCGCATATCATAATATTATATTATCCGAAGATCTAGTTTTAACTGTCGTTGTTTAAATCAAACTTATGAGCGTGTTCTAGCCGTCGAAGTTTTTTTTTCTGCTATATATTTGAACATTGAAGTGATATTATCGTGCCTGTCGTATTATATTGGCTATTGCGTATAGTAATATTAATATTAATCTTTTACCGACTTACCGTGCGTTTTCGCTAAATAATCAGAATATCAGATGTTCAGACTGCTTTTAGTTATTGACCTCCGGTTTTAATGGGCGTCTATAAGTGCAGCAGTGTATAATATTACTATATAGTATTATAGTGTAGTTCCGAGAGCCCCCCCTATACACTATGTGTTTTACTTACCCGGCATACGACATTTAGATCGAAATATTTGGTCGCAGGACGATAACAGTAATCACTTTTTATACTCGTAGGTTTTATACTCACCCGAAAATAATTATTTTTGTTACTTTTATTTAATATGATCGGAAATGCTTTCAATATAACTATTATCTGCAAGCCGGAATTTGGAGATCATCAATTAAAATCGTTTGGCTATTTTAACGATATCGGTGCTCGTTTCTATTAAACAACATAATATGCAAAATTCACAAATTACAGCTATAACGTAGCAGCTATTGAGTCGTATAATACAATATAGTATCGGATATTTGTGATATTTACATACCACTGTTACAATAACACACGTATTCATATCGAACGAAATCGTTGAAAATTATTGGATAGTTCCACGTCGGCATTTTATGGTGTTTAATTGTATTTAAATATTTATTTACGTCAACGCCTGCCATAGTGAATAACAGCGGATTTCCGTGAATCGCAATAAATGCATCGGAGTATGCAGTTGATTGCACTCTGTCGGATAACACGCTATCGGTAAATATGAATAACGAATAAGTATAAATAAACTATTATTGTTTTCCTAAAATCAAAAAAATAAAATATTACGAGTACATCGATTTGCGTTTCGTGTAATTTTTCATTTCCACCTTGCATACGTATAATAACATATTGCACCCTCGACATAAAATTTAAAACAATTCATGTTTATAACGAGAAAATTATCACACATGTTCTTTTCGATCATTTTAAATAAGCACAGGATGGTATTTACGCACATCCGTTAATAATAAATTCGTGTATGTATTCAATTTCTGCTTTCAAGAATACCTTAGCACACTTGAAATTTAAATACCATATTTTTAGATGATACGACTTGATTAGAACATTTGAGAAGTGCGATGTGGCAATACGAACCTTTTTTTTCAAATGATAATCACAATGCCTGCCCATGTTTAATGCCAATTATTTATTATGTGATTTTTTTTATATTTGTCGTATCCGAGGTCATATCTGATCGAAAGTATGTTTCCGAGTTATTACTAGTAAACTGTTTATACTTAATACGGTTATGGTCATAAATATTAACTTTGCATTAAATATAAAATATAATATGTTGTATTTAGTCTGGTACCTACTTATTATACTGAAGGATAAGAATACTAGAACAATAGTTTTATAAATTAATACTATTCTCTATGATTTTTAAATATTCATGGCCTCTTAACCATCTAACCTATTATCATGGACTTAGAACTTTCAGAAGTTTTAAGTTCAACGTTTTCAGAAAATACCCTTAAGAGTTCCGATTTATACAAGTACAATTTTTTCCATTATTTCAAAAAGAAACAATTATATCATCACTGGCCAGTACTTAAATGGTATGATAAATCTAAGTAATTTAAATGATGGTGTATATATCATTATTAAAAATCAGAATTTGAATTATTTCACAATTAAAAGAAAATGTTGGGTTGAGCATATGATTGGTGAATCACACCCTGTATAATATAGTAAGTATATCATATGTTACATATAGTGGGTATAATGAGAACGTGCCCGGAGTTTTTTCGCTCCGTCAGTGATCGAAAAAATAAATCTCACTGTAATGCGCCGCATAAACTCCCTAGAAGTTTACAACTATAATCCGAATCTAATACGTACGGTGGATTTATATACCTGCTTTGTATAGGTACACAAGTATGATATTCATTTTCAAGATTTATTTATTTAGTTTTTCTTCTTAAAATTTCTCGAATGTTTTTCAAACGGTCTTTTCTTGTACGCTATCTCCGAGATTTAATATGTTCCTTCTCCGAATGACCTACGACTGCGAGTTTTAATTAAATATTATTTTTTTCGCTCTCCGTCGTCGGAGTGAAATATAATACCAAGCATTCGTCGTAGACATTATATCTGTTAAGAGACCTAAGGCGCTGACGCGACGACGGTTTGAACTTTGGTAAACCGCGAGTTACAGCGACGATCCATTTTATTAATGATCCATTTATGTAAAACAGTACTATATTATTATCATTATTATTATTATAATTTGTATATTTAATATATGCGCGTACCATCGTTTTGATAGCGTTCTAAACGATATTCGATTTCGTGGAATTCGCGTTTAACTCTCCATAATTTATACTATCGGTATATATACTCGCGTATTATGGTTTGTGTAATTACACAACGATTATTCGAAACTTAATAAGTTCGTCACAATCACGCGTGAGAATATAATTAATGGCTCTTAACGATCGTTGATGATATTATTTATGCCGCTTGCGTTGTGCTCAAAGTATATCTTGCGCAACGCGTGTTCTCGGGTACGATGTAAAATGTATATTTATGTATATTATATTATGTTATTTACCTACACCGGATACAGTGGCATATACTGCTGATGTAATATTTTTTTCAAAATAATATATTTTGCCGTCAAGCCGTCGATTAACGATAGACTACAGAAGCTACTGTGTCTTAATAAATAAATAATGTTGTGTCATTATTTTTTGTCTGATAATTGACGATTAACGATATTTTTATGACGGGATAAAGAAAAATACTGTTGTACGCAGTTCTACGCTATTTTTGGGAATTAAAAACGGTTTCCTGATTATTCGAGATTATGATAGGTACTATACGCATAACGTAAGACGTAGGTATTGTATTTTGTTACACTTTTAAGAGTTTTCTGTAAGATACTCAATGAAAAATATACTGTGTTCTTTTGTCAGAGAATAACGAATTGGATTTTTTTATGACGTTTTCCACGTGGAATTCAATAAAACAATGAATATCAACAAATACAATAAAATCTGTCAAATACTGATAATACGCAGGACCGAGTTTATCTACAAGTAAAATAACTAATTTATTACTGCCTTCGTAGATATTCGGTCTATAAACTTGCGAAGTTTAAAATAATATACATATTTTACAGTTACTATCGATCACTAATGTGTGACGGTCGAGCACATTGACAGTTCCTCATTTACATGATCATGTATTTTTTTAATTTTCGTGTAGATTCGATGGTTGTAGATATTGTGACGCACCTGACTGCTAGCCATACAGTATTTCATATGTAGTATATCATAGTGTTTTTCTGTGTCTACTCAGCATTGGAATATCCAAAAAGAACATGCGTAGGTAAAAA